CACACACACACACACACACACACACACACACACACACACACACACACACACACACACACACATCTCGGTATCGTTTCCCTCACTCCAAGCGATGCGCAACGCTTGGAGTATAAGATGATAAATGATATAATGAAAAATATAATCCAATTAACGTTTTATGATGCAATATTATTTACATTTCATCCAATTTGGAATTAATTTTATAAATAAATTATTGAACAACTAACAGTAATTTTATAACGATCCATGCGAATAAGGATTTTATTCATTTTATTTCGATGTACCAATTTTTCCTTAAATCTGACGTTATTATAATAATTATTTTTAATTTCTCTACTAAGAAAAATACATAAGAAGGCATAGATATAAAATGATTCCCGAGCTAAACCCTAAAAAATTTCTACCTTTCTTTTTATCCAAATATTTATATTTTTTATTTATAAATTATCTTTCTAAAAATTATAAGAGATAAAAAATACATATATGATATTATATAGATATCGCAATATCTCTTACGATAATTATTATTTGTACACTGGGAGAAAAAAATGATTGCAAGTACTGTAATTTATAGTCATTTTCTGAGTCAACTATAAATTTATGATTATTTTAACCATACACATTATAGTTTCGACACTAAAATATGATCATTTTACAACTATAACATGCATTAAGTTTTTCCTTACCATATTTCTTTTATAGTTATTATTGCCATATAAATACTTAGAATGTTAAGAAAATAGCTATAATAATTAAGAAAATAGTTATAATAAAAATATAGAATATAACATTCACTACTATAATGACGATTGCATTTATTACGTAAAAATAATTATTTTTATTTACTATTCGTATATTAACATTTTACTATACCTATTAACAATTCAGATTATCAATTATAATGCAATTTTTTCATATTTGAGAAAATTATACATATAAGGTTATTATTATTATTAATATTATAGCAGTAATAACCATAATAATGGACCTACTCCATAATTTTTTAATGCAATTACAGTCACAAATACCAAATACTTTTCTCTCTGTGTATAATTATTGCGTGATTTGTATTTGACCAAAAAAAGTGGCATTTAATATTTACCATTTATTATGTCGTTGATGTGAGATAATGAGAAAAAGGAAGAAATAACGCTGATTAAAACACAATATAATTTTTTAACGAGAAAAAAATGGTGAAACTATGATAACGACGTAATAATTCTGATAATTATGTCATTCGAGTTTTATACAATAATATCCAACATGAAAGTATATATGAATGTTTAATTTAATAGAGCTATGCGTTTATAAAATTTAATTAATTAATTAATTAATTTTTAAAAATAACATATTTGCTCACATATCTTTATCATAATACGTTTTGCAACATACGAGTGTTAACTAATAAAATAAGTGCAACTAATGCACACGCGCGCATCGCTTTTTGTTGTGTGTTCAAGATTACGCACGTGTCTATTACTCTATCAACCGACTATTACTTTATCAGCCGACTTATCGTGATAAATAACATCAAATACTTTTCAAAGTGCCATATAGTAGAGGAGAAGATGGTATTATGGCATCCCAGTTTTACATAACACTTTGTTAATAATCAATATTTAAGTTTAAAACTCGACAATTACATTCGTTAAAATTTTGTTGAATCGATTCTAAACTCAAAGTTACGAAATATTTATTATTTAGGATACTATTAATAAAAATGTGGCGACATCGCGTAATAATTAAAAAAAAAAAAATGAGTGGGTAATGTGACCTTCCGTAAAAATAGCCTTAAAATATTAGTTTTGTTTAAAAAACAGTATTTGATTACAAAATTAACAAAAAAGTAAAACATTTTAAAATGTATGCAAATGAATGTATATACATTCACATAACTTCTGCATATAAGCTGCTCAGTACTAAAAATAGTACACATAATATAAACTATTGATTAAGAGTAGAGCTACAATCGATTAAATAATTATTTTTATATGAAAACCGCAAAAAAGAGTAATCAATATCCATAGAGGGCCACATTAGCAAAATGTCATGCTATTGTTTAAATTTGCATAACTCAAAATATATACAGTCAAATAAAATGTTAAATAACATATTCAAAAATACATATATTCGTGGATAATACGTTCAAATTCAAGAAAAATAAGGAAGTAGTTGTAATTAAATGTTAAAATATACCTCAGAAACGTGTTAAAATATTTAAAAATAAAAATGCGTTATAATAAATGTCTGACTATTAAGTATTGGTATATTAGCGTCATGGTGTAATGGCAAGCTACTGAACAAATAATTCCATAAGGAATCATTAGGATTTGCAAGATAATAGCGAAGATATTAAGAGAGGGCCTCTCCCCCTCCCCCCACACACACACACACACACAAATACCTTCTCCTCTACATATCCCGAAGATATTTTTCTCTCTAAATACGATGCCAGATTTACAGAATTTGCGTAACATGTCATGATTTTTAGTAAATTGAAATAAAATAAACTAAAAGTCTTTGAAATATGTACTATAATATGACGGAGAAAAAAAAGTGATTTTTTTATTGAAACGCATAATGGTTATATCCATCGCATCTAGAAAGTTTTATCTATAAAATATCAATCCAGCAAACTCCTGTTAATTGTAATTTTCAACTCTACAATGTAAGTATAATTCTACAATATAATATAGCATATATGTTATATTAAATAAAAATTATATCGTGAGTGGGAAATTACCACAGGTACGCGTTACATATAACTTTGTATTTGCAGGAAATAATTGAGCTTTAAATAAAAAATGATTAAGAATAAAAGTCTTTTGTATATTAAATTTTAGACTTTTAATAAAAATTAATCTTATGCATTTAGAAATTTTTAAGGGATCTTACTTTAATAGACTATTAATATCGGGCTTAGTTACGAGATATATAATATTAAATATCACCTAGCATCGAAAATTTAAAAAAATGTAATGGCATCTAACTAAATTTTTGCTAAATAGAAGTTGACGTAAAATTGCTTAAGAAATAGTACGTCAACAAAGTTTGTCCAACTATTTCAACGAAGATTTTTTACCTAAATGTATTTCAGATCTTTGTACAAATATAATAGGAATTTCTTTGATTTACCTTAACGTCACCAAACATCTCAACCAGATCGTGGGAACCGCTGCCAAGTGCGAGATGGTACAATATGTCCTGATCCATAAGTTCGATATTGGGATTTCGTAATCGTACGGAGCCATCGCTGTACCTATAAAAGATGGAAAACCGGTTTGACTTTTTATTTTATGATAGAATATCTTAAATATATCCATTAAAAACCTTTTGCATGGTCATGAATGCAATAAAGTATATATTTAATACAATAATTGAATAACTTCACCGCGAAATAGATAACATGTATCATAATATTGCAACCGTAGCAAAATATTTGATTTAAACGTTTTCGCAATATACGTGCTACAAATATGATAAATTCCCCTTGTTTATAAAATATACAATTATCCGAGTTTACACAAGATAATTAGTATTCAGAATTATTAATTATGATGTTTGAGTAATATTTAAATTATAATATATTATCTTATTTCTGATATTTAGTTTATATTTAAGCAAGAATATTAACATTTAAATGTATAACATTTTAAATTAATTAAAAATCGGCAATTTTTTTTTGTGTAATACATTACGGCTCTCTACTGTTTTTTTCTTTGTAATACTATTAAAGATAACGATTAAACCAAGACGATAAATGCCTTTATATCGTAAATCTCAGCGTTTGCATAGTCTCTGGATTATCTTTAGATCGCGAGGCACAAATGAACACCGATTAAACTGCGGTGATGGCCTTTGACATCACGACGTCATGAAATTGATTCTACGACAAACGATAGAACGGACAATCGCATCAACGTCGAAAATTGACTTCGTTAATGTACTCGTAAGCCTAATCAGTTCCGACTGTCGACGGATTCGCGCATCGTAATTAAGTCATCTCCGTTCGATGGCCGAATAAATGTATTTCGTTTCTGACGTCTCGGCAAATCGGAATGTACAACGTGATCAGGAAAGAAATCCTCTGCGATGTGTAACAGTTCAATATTTGTGAAAAATAATTCGATGAAATGATTCAATATTTATATTTTGACATGCAGATTTAGGAATAAAAATATGAAGAATATGGATTGTGGAATATGGATTGTCAGGAGCAATATCTATAAAGATATTATATTTCAAATACAGAAATGGGTCAAGATGGAGCTGAGCAGAACAGCAAAGTGCTGTTTGCTCGTCTTAAGACTCGCTGGATTGTTTGTTTTTCCAGACTACCTGGAAGAGTTTTCTATGGAAGAAAATACCCACCGATAGTTCAGGTTCGCCTATTGTTTCTGGGTGTATAATACTGCTCGACAATGTAAATGTATACAGTACACTTCTTTAATTTCTAACTTGTTATTGATAGCTTCGATTTATAAACGCGAAATCACAAGCGTTTATTAATCCGTTTAGCTATAATGATCGCTAATCTAATGGACAATATTCACGAGTCACATTTGTTATACTTTGACATCTGTCACTTATATCTGTGTCCAAAGAAACTGTAAATGCTTATTATTAACAATTTGCCACAATACAGTTTTAGTCATTATCCTTTAACAATAATAAAAGTAAAATGCTGTAAGAATAAATCTAGAATAGGAAAGAAAGGCTAATAAAAGTCAACTAGTAAATTATTAACTACTCGCATGTATTTGTATAATTTACTGCGTTTATATAAATTAATATTTTGTGATTATTTACGTACTAACATCCGCGTTGTTCTTATCAGCTCTTCTTTCCTATTTAGTCTTTAATTATTCTTTAATTTGATTTTCATCATATGTCGACTTTTGTTGCATGTGGTATTTAAATGAGAATGTTCAAACTTTTTTCGTTACTTATGATGAACAAAGAAAGGCCTCCAGAAAAAAATTTATAAGAGATACGTTCAATACTTGACGAGAAATCTATTATCATTGGAAAAGGTATATTACAGTATTTGATATCTTCTCATCAGTATATTCCTCACATCATGTGTACAACTTGTAACCCTGTCCACGTTGTCCCCCTGAGAAATTTTGCATGCATAACCAGTGTGAAGATGTTCACCAATTTCCATCTAAATGTCTCACTATGTATGTAAGCTATTCAGAGGCTATTACTTGCGCTCCTTCAAATATAGATTGATGGATATGAAATAATTATTAATTCATGTCTCTCCAAATTCATGTCTCTGGAAATTTAAGAAAGGTCTTTTTTTGATTCTCGACGATATGACAGTTAACTAATTACGTCTCGGATTACGTTTCTGATAAAATAAAGTCCAGCTGGGAAATAAGTTCTGATGTTGAGATCGAGTTACTTAATAAAGTAAATAAAAGACTTTCAAAACTGATTAAACTTTTAATAGATATTTAATAGAGATGCAGCAATACTTTCTTTTCAATCAATTTAAATTATGGAATTCAATTTAATTGGATTGGATTGAAGTAGAATTAAAAATCTAGGATTTATTCTTGATCTAATGTCGTTGATTAGAAAGTTATAATGACGAATAAACATTATCTTTTGTATCTTCGAACGTACATGATCCGAACAAGAAATCGTCTTCCCTATCCGTTATTAGATAAAAATCAGAAGAGAGAAACAGATATATAATCTAATATTTAAGACCACTCATGTGTTTTTTTATCTTCTAATCGCAATGAATTTTTTATTTCTTCTATTTCCTTCGTTATCGAATAAAAATCGAAGAAGAAAGGTCCAGACAAGCCCCTAAATCTAATTTTTTCGTCACTATACTATACTTTTTTGTCAATCATAGCTTCAATCGTCTATTGCTTATCTTTATCAACTTAATTTTAATCTTTGAATTAACATTAATCTTTGAAAACGTTTTTGCCCGAGAATAAATAATCCGATCACAAATCATCACACGTTTCTTCAAATCATCTTCCCTTTTATCCGTTATTATGTAAAAATCAGAGAAGGAAATTAGTTATATATAAATTAATATCTATCTAGCTGCATCTTTTTATTCGCAGCTGTAACTGGTTCGTTATTCTATTAACCGATAAAGAGATTTCTTCGAATTTTTTATTTCTTTTATTCCTCATCGATAAAAATCAAAGAAAAGAAGCTCCTAAGTATCAAATCTCCAATCAATTATTTATTGATCATAACTTCAATTAATTGTTGCTTATCATTATTAATTTGATATATTTTAATCTTTAAAAAAAATGTTATTTTCCACCACCCATGAGATATCTTTGCTCGAGGAAAACTATCCAAGGTTTCTCCTTTGGCGTTATTTGTCTTTTGTATGACTTTGCGACGGGCTTTTCATTATTCTCTTCACACAAGCTCGACAGAAACTATGCTCACACGCGAATAATATAGAGAATGTGAAGATATACAGTCTGTTGTCTATACCACGGAGTTGCGCTCGCCATATTTCCGTTGTTATCATCGCAAGACACAACCATGCATCTTCGTTTCATCGTCAAAATAGTATTATCGTTCTAGTCTTCTTCGCGTATCTCGCAATAATTTCTCATTTCGCTCATACTGAAGAAAAGGATAATCGAGTTTTTCTACTTTATGTTGTGTATTCTATGATAAATGTGAAAAAAAATGCATCTTTTAAAATATTAAGATTAATGGATAGATATAAGTATGATTAAGGTATATATTAGAGTGTTTTGAAGTTTGTAAATTAAAATATAACAAAATATAGCAAAAAGTGTTATAATTTATATAAATGTATTTGCTGTTTGTCGTTTCAATTTTATAATATAATTTTTTTAATAAAAAGCTTAAAAATTATAGTCACAGATTAAACGGCCATTTATTCGTAAATCACCGCACGTTAACAGTGTTTGGTTGACATGCATTATCCATGTGCGACTTACAAACAAACGGTCGTTTAATCGTAATTAATTTAAAATTACCGTAATTAATAAAAAAATTAGCAGTTTTGAAAATTGGATGTCTAAAATTAGTCGTTTAATCATAATTAATCTAAAATTACTTAATTTTTGACTTTTAAAACTACTGTTCGGACAACAATTAGCAAATATGTTTATACCTTATTTTGTTGGAAACTTTCTCACTGTGATATTTTGATTCGTAAATTTTGGTGCACCCTGTATATTTCTGCATTTTCCTGAATAAGTAAATTAATATTCAAGAACCACACATAAAAGTCACCAAAAAAGCAAAATGACTTTATTTTGATTCTTCATGTCAATAAATAATTAAATTTTAACAAAAAAAATCATCATTTTGACTTTCATAACGTCAAAATAAAATCCAAATAACGTCATTTCGACTTTCTCTTGACTTGTGTTTTTCGGTTAGCGCAGTTTAAATAAACTATTGCTATCAGAATAATAATTTTATTAACACCATAATATATCACTTACATAATATTAATAAATTATTTGTGCAATAATTTATTTATAATTACGTAAAATGTCAATATGTCGACGTTATTAGCTATTACGTATTAATATTGAAATATTCTATAATAGAATTAATATAGAATATAACATAAACGTACAAGAGAAATTATTCCACTTTCAACAATTAATATATGTAAAAGAAACATATAGAGCCAATGTTTGTGCACATAATTCTTTATTACCAACGCCAACATAGCGAATTAATGTACGTCAATTCGTTGAAATTCAAAAGCGCAAATACCCCATTTTCTCATGTAAAAAATTTCATATTCGCGATAATAATAGTCTACAGCAGAACTGCAAGAGAAACTTGTTTTATAATACAATTTATAGTATAAACATTGACTTTATATGTTTCTTTTACATATATTAATTATTGAAAGTGGAATAATTTCTCTTGTACGTTTATATGCCATATTAATTCTATTATATTGTAGAATATTCCAATATTAATACGTAATAGCTAGTAACGTCGACATATTGACATTTTACGTAATTATAAATAAATTATTGCACAATTAATTTATTAATATTATGTATGTAAGTGATATACTATGATGTTAATAAAATTATTATTCTGATAGCAATAGTTTATTTAAACTGCGCTAACCGAAAAACATACCAAGTTAAGAGAAAGTCGAAATGACTTTATTTGGATTTTATTTTGACGTCATGAAAGTCAAAATGATGATTTTTTTTGTTAAAATTTAATGATTTATTGACATGAAGAATGAAAATAAAGTCATTTTGCTTATTTTATATTACTTTCAAAATATAAACGAAATATGTCGTTTGCTTGGCCCCCATTTACAGTCTATTTTTTTTTAAACAAAACGTAGAGTTATGACTGAAATTGAACTTCGCAGGTAAAAAATGAGGGTATATATTTCCGACAAGTCACGAGTCTCTTGACAGTATTCACGACCAATCCCGTGAGACAAATCGATTTTTGTGGTCAGTCAAGTCTATTTGTTAAGACCTAGCTGCCAGTTTCCCGTAAAAAGAAAATTCCTCGTCTAACTGTGGTACTACCTGATCTCCCCGTATTCTCGTCTGTCAACTTTACGCAGAACAAACACAATGATCTAACTCCGTATATCGTAAAATCGATTTAACAGAATAAAAAGCAGCCTTTCAAACATCAATCTATTTGTGTATTTGTTGCATGTTAGTTTTTATAGATTTTGTATTTTCACAAGTTGAAATTGACTACACTACGATCAATAAACATTTCTGTTTACGTAAATTTAATTTATTAATTCGATGAAATAAAATGACAAATCACAAACACTCATCATCAATCAGCAATTCATATTTACAATTGGACTATAATTTTTAATTTCGATATTTTGACAATAAGACTTACTTTGTGTAAAACAATATTATAACCTTTAATATTTAATTTTTAAAATCAATTCTTACATAAAAACTCGCTCTTTTGTCAATTATCAAACATAAATTCATATATATAAAATTAATTTTAACCAATCCGTAATTGAATAACATTGTACAAAAAAGAGTTAATCCATTAAATTGAAAAAATAATTTATATACAATGACTTACGAAACTGATCAAATTGTTATAAAGTTTTTTTGAAAGACTGTTTTCGTTTCGATTGTTTTCTTCAAATCAATCGTTAACTAATTGTGTATATTTGTATCAGTTTCGTAAGTCATTGTACATCACTGTATAATTGAGTTAGTATAAACACAAATAAGTAAAGAAGAAAAATATGCGGTTCAATAATATTTTTGCATGAATTTTACAATTTTCAGAATATAAACTGCACACCGATTATTTTTCGGTCTTGAAATACAATCCTAAACTAAAGCCGAAGTACGGAATATGCATAAAAGTATGTAGTATACAATTCTTAATTATAAATTGATTTATTAATTTTAAATTGTATTTATCAAAAATTTTTATTCAGCGAAATAGTAATTTTTTGCTCGTTTCAGTTCGCTATAAAAATTTAAATAAAACCTAAAGTTTTTCACTAACAGTAAGAAAAATGTTTCGTTGGATTAAGTTGGAATTCTGAAAATGAATGAATCAGAATTTTCTGATTGAATCCACTAATTCTACACTGAAAGAAAAGATTGGCTGAATATGGCGTAGCATTTTCAATCGGTTGCAGCAGTTAATTAAAAATATACTATACCATATTTTACCATCTAATTTTACCGAAATAATCGGAATTCTAATTGATATAATCAGATTCTTCTGGTTCGTTCTCAGGGTTCGTCTGATTCTTAACGGGCAAGGTAAGACTTTCCAGTTTTCATTGTCTGTAAAAACGCGTCCCTACCTAACCGGATCGACGTATTCTCTGGGTTCCATGACCTTGTCCTGCTCCATAGGTAGCTTTAGCGAGCAAACGTGCTCCTCCGACTCGTCCAGAGTCCTGTCCTGGCAGGCGCACGTCGGCATCCTGATTCGTTTTTCAAATCACAAATTGCACACCACCTTGGAAATCAGTAGATCGTCGCGCGGACCGAAGATTTTGCGGAACTGGTCAATTCTGGCTTTTACCTCCGAGGGTAGCGGTCTGTTAACGTGAACGATATCAGATAGCGCGATATAAGTTTCGCACGTTTCGTGTCGAGCCGATCGACAATATCAGAAAATAGTTGCCGGCGATTGCGACGGGATCTTTATATGTATGTCACTCGAGACGAGTACCATGCCTCATTCTCACCCCACTACGTCGCTGCCATTTGTGGCCAATCGCCGGACACGTTCTCTTCAAACATGGATACACGCATAACCGGTCACTAGCTAGTGCAAGTGCAAGTTGCAGGCCACCAATGCAGACCACCAATGCTACGTCCGTGTCGTGCCAGTTTACACGACTATCGGTAGCAGAATGCATATATAGGGTAGGGATGAGAGATCGCGAATCAATTTTCTGAAGACCTGAATCATTTGCACTCGGTGCGTTTCATTCGAAAATGGAAGCTCGCAATCATTTTGGTCTTAAGTCTGTTTTCTGTGGCTAAACTTATCGTGTGTACAATTTTGGGATTTAAAGTGAGATAAGTATACACTTTCCGGGAAAAAAATGTTTCATGTGTAATTATATAAAATTATATATAATTATATAAAAAAAATTAACATATTTGATATTATAATATTTTATAATATTTTTCCCGGATATGATATTCCGAAAACGAAAAAGAAAATTCTAGTAGAAATAAAAAACAGACTTCTTGTTGTTTATCAAATATTAAACAAATAATGCTTTGTAATGTGATGAGCCTCAAGTGGAACGCACTCCGGATGAAAGAAAAAAATCGATTCGTTTAGTCTAGCGGATCGAAGTAACTCAGGCAAGCAGGGAGTTGCCGTCTTCAAAGGTAATTTCAAAAATCAGATTTACGCGTAGAATATCTCATTTTCAAATCTTATACGGACGAGTAAATCTGTAGTAACAAGGTAAAAATTTTAATTGACACACGATTTCAATTTATTATAAAAATGTACATAGAATTTCTTGTTCTATGCTTCAGTCACTGCAAAAGCGTGCGTATAAAAGTTTCGATTGAACAGCACAAAGTATCTTTGCGCAATTTCAGCATACAGTTACACTTATTTTCATTTTAAACTGAATGCCTCGATTAAGTACTCAATCTATATCATTAGCTATTTTATTTTATTGACAACAGCCGCTTGCGGGTCTCTTAATAGTCCGCATTAGCTCTTTATATGAATTCATTAAGTTTCTCCAATAATAAAATATTACTTCAACATTAACAAATATTAGGTCCAAAATTGACATATTCATTTGACTTGTAATTTGGAGTAAAGCTTAAGCGACGTCTACAATAAGCTTTAAGCTATAAGAAATTTATTTATCAATCGTAGTCGATGACTTTCCTCTCATCTCGGTAAAACATGTTTCATGCATGAATACGTATAAATATGTATAAACATTATATATAGAGTAACTCCGCCAAAAACGCCGCGCTGGGATTTACGCCGCAGAAGTCAGAAAAAATAGGAGTGAGGGTAATTTTCCTGCAACTATTCTGTTACATACCTTTATGTTATTGTACATTAGTATTGTGTTATGATTTCAGCTTCTTACTGTTAATATTAATGAAATTATTATTGCGAGTTGAATCGATTTGTCATTATAATAAGTAACGCCATCATAAATTATAATCTACATAAAATGATTACTGTAAGACGTGTAAAAGATTTAGTGGTTATTTCGTGATACATACGTGTAGTGGAATAATAAAATAGTGTAGCAAAATACAAGTGCTTTGCTTTCGTATTTTTTGTTAAGTTTGTTGTCTTGTATATCCCACCTGTTTGGGATATACGGCATTTTTAGCAAGCGGGATTTATGTCCAAAGCGTACAAAGTGCGCAGATTGAATTCAGTGCACTAAATGCAATAAACACATAATATGAAATATGTACCGCATATCATAATACTTGTAATATATGTAGGAAGATTGTAATTCTTATTTATTACTTCATATACATATTTATCATTCTTATTCCTTAATAAAACTTTATAAACACACTTTATAACTTATTGTGTCATTATACGTTTTATCTATATGCATTATTTTTGTAAATTTTCCATGAGCCGTACATACTCCTTCTTTCCTTATGAGTCGCATCGCTATGGAATATATAGTACAATAAAAATACAAGGATTTCTAATATTTTTTTCATAGTATAATAGTAGACAGTACAAAGTTTTTACTAATACAGTTCGTTTACTATAAACATAGTAAATAATATTTAATAAATTAAGTTTTCAAGGTGCGGCGTATATATCGAAGTTAGTCTATATAAATATTCATAAACATGTATAATCATATACGAAATATGTGTCCATACATGTTCATACATCACTTTTTCTTTTGTAAAATTACTTTTTAGTGTAATAGAAATAATAATGTTAATGTGAAAACATTAAAAATAATTAAAGGGATAATTTTCGCATTGTTCGTTTTAGAAAGAAACAAGTTTAGGAAAATGTATAAAAAAATGTTCATACACAATAATGCATAATTTTAGATATAATTATACATAAGTAATTTTTTTTACATTTCTTCAAACTTGATTTTTTTCTAAAACAAACAGTATGAAAATTACCCTTTTAATTATTTTTAATGTTTTCACATCACTATCATTATTTTTATTACACTAAAAAGTAATTTTACAAAAAAAAAGAGGGATGTACGAACACATATAAACATATTTCATAGATGATTATACATGTTTATGAATATTTATGTATGTTTATACATATTTATATATGTCCATGCATGACAATTTTTTTTTACCGGGATTCGACTATAATTGGTTAATTTTTTACGACTTGAAACTTAAAACTTAAGTTTTACGCCTTAAAATCTTATTGTAGACGCTGTTTTAAACAGACTGTGGGTAGGAGAGACTGGGAACAGTTGCAATGGAAGTAAGTTGTAACAATGCGTATATTTTTTAAATGACATGAGATAAGATGATCATATGGAAAACAAAAATAATTGGTATCGAGGCCTGCATCTGCTTCATGCCAATCACACGTACGCCGTATGTAAAAAAAGTTATATGTACTGTGCTCAAACAAGCCACATAAATGTAAATCTACAATTTTATACTTTTTTGCTTTAAACTTTCAAATAAAAGACTTTTTACCATATTTTCAATTTATTGATTCTAAAATACGTTTTCTCAAACTAGGCGCTTTTTTTTAAATATTTTTAAGTGATTTCAAATATATTCATATGTAGCAAATTTTAACAACACATCGGTTTGGAGTTAAAAATACCGTATCGCTAGGGTACATTGTAACACCATTACAATTAACGGTAAATGTTAAGAAGAGCCCGTTTACCTCAAATTTTGATAAAAATACACTGAATTGATATATTTTCGCGTAAAAATAAATATCTGACAAGAAAAACAAGTCGCTCTGCTTTGTGAACTAAAATATTTTAAGTTGATGACTATTCAGGTTAGGAAATCTGTCACAGCCACGAAATACTGCGAAGTGCGCTAAGGTCACATTGTCATGCTCTAAGACCTGTGAATACGTTATAAGTATTTGCGTTATAAGTATTTCTTATTATAATAGATATTATTCACTGTTTTACAAACGCAAATTCACTTCTTTGAAAACAAATTATCTGTTTTGATACACAAATTCACTGTTTTGAAACAAATTCCCTACTCTAAAACACAAATTCACTGCTTTTTAATACCAAATTTACTGTTTTTTTTTTAAATAAAAATAATATAAGAAGATAATTTCTGTTTTAGAACAGAATGTGTTTGAAGAATAATTTGTTTTTAGAACATGTTACAACTTTCCCTAGCTTTGTTTTATTTTGTCCTAAATCGGAGCAAGATGTACTTAATTAAGATTTTAATATTTTACTCATAATAGTCTAAAATTACACTTTTTTGCAAATAATACTATAAATCTAAATAGTTGTTGCGTCATGTGCATTAAAAGAAATAAATATATATGTTATAAATAAAGAAATACATGTATTTTTTTAAAAATTGGTACAATTATCTCCAGTCTATCCTACCGAAATTTTTTAGACCTATTAATTTATATTTTTTGAAGCAGAACCTAAAAATTATTATATATATGTAATGAATATCTATTATATAATTATATTTATATATTATATAATGATATATTACACAATATACATAAATTTATTATAAACTTCTTATAATAAAAGAATAATTTTCAAACTTGATATTTTGATGTAGCAAATCGGAAAGTACATCTGTGAACTCTAAATTCTGCAGCTGTAGAAGCGTTTATCATTTTAAGGTTGATCTCGGATAGAATGGCACTCATCGAATTTTTCGCGTTTCACAAGCTAGAACCACAGTGCGAAATAGGAGTGCGAAATGAAATTCGCTGTTTCCCTTTTTGCCAGAGCGAGAAATTGGAGTTATTTTAGCACGACTAAAAGGGTCACCGGAGACGTTACGTAACCAACCCCCTCGATCCACAATTTCACACACCTGCCTGCTCCGAGGAAACATAATTCGAGGCTCTTTCATTTCCGTCGGTATATCCATTTCTTTTTTACACTTGGGCGTACTTCTCCGTGGAAAATCATAGCGGTAAGTTGCATTCGCAAAACTTCCACGAGCAATTCGTTTAGAAATTGTTCTAAAGCTTTCCGCGGGATATCGATAAATAAATGTCATCTCGATGGACCGGTTGCGGGCACGCTTTCTTAATAACGCTCTGGTGAACCACTTTATTTTCCGCCGTGCGTTTTCGAATTATTAAACGCGAAATTTTATATTGCCGAGATAAGATACATTTCTGTTATAATGATATTTTCTTTTCTTTTATAATGATATATAACTAATGAAATTTTAATAAAAGAAATTATATTAAGAAGAGCTACAAGCCAAAACAAAACAAATTTTAATGTATATGTGATACAATTGACATTAAGCAACATAAAAATTAAAGTAAAAACAAGATAAAAATATGTCTACATATAATAAAACTAATGTTTCGACCTTCTTCGGGTCATTTTCAAAGTTATAAACTAATATATAAAAACACGGTTGACTAAAATAGGCTAACAAAGACAACTAATTATACGGATACAATAACAAAAAATGATTAA